GCGACGGGTCCCCACGACGGCCCGCCAGGCCCGGACCCCACCAAGGGGCAGCGGCCTCCAGCTCCTCTTCGGAGGAGAACACAATTCAAAACCTGAGGGAGGACAACCCAGTGAGGGGTCTACGGCCACGGAGCCTCATCACCATCCGCACAAGGCCGGGCTCCGCGGACCGGGCCCTGGGTTCCAGATGCAGATCCCAGACAGCAACCAAACCCTGCACAATTGAGAGGCAGGATTCGGAGAAAGTCAAGTGCAGTTTTAATTTAATCAAATTCTCAGGAATAGGGTGTCACCTGCGCTTTCCCATGGCTGTCAGGAGAGGCCTAGGTCGATTTTCCCAACATGGTACAAAAGCTAATACCCGTGAAAGACGCACTCCTCTACCTTAAATAAAGGGGCATGTCTGCCTGCTAGGATCTTTCTTCCAAGATTCAGGGACTGCTCACTGAAAAGGCATTTACTGAGGCCTGCCACAAACTCGCCTTGTGGAGCTAACAGCTTAGTGCACTAACAGACAGGTTTTGTTTGCTTGTCTAAAAAACCATCCATGTTTCCTGTGTTTTGGTAGTACGAGTCTTATTTTAAATTTTCTTTAGAAAAGATTCACTTCTAGGTTAGAACTTAAAAGGACAAAAAGTCTGTTCTTTGCTTGACTTATATCCTGTTTTTAGCTTGGAATACAGTGAGTTTGCAATTCTGCATCCCAGTTCCTGACCATGTTTTAAGAATGTGGTCATTTTGATGAGTAAAGTAGATCCAATATTCAATACAAAGCCAGTAAAACATTTTAAATAATCAAGGAAAACGATATTGACTTAAAGTCAAATTAAAGAATTGTAATTTAAAAATCAAGGCAGGGTTTTGAAGGCTGGCAGGTTGGGCAACATGCACACACATGTGCACACAGCTGGCAGTTCCCAGCCTCCTCAAGGCCAAGCACCCTTTATTTTCTCTCCATAGGCCACATGTTTAGAAAGAGCTATTCCACAAAATTGCATTTATTAACTAAGGATTCATCTTCCCACTTAAAAAAACAACAACCCTGCAGTGTGTTTGTATATATAACCACCAATCAGAGCTTCTACAAAACCTGAGCTAACCTGTTGTTAATCGTGGATTCCAACCTAAAGAAACTTGCGGTCTGATTGCAAGTTGATGGGTTTTCATTGATGCTTTTGGAAACGGTGAAAATCATTTGGGGACCTCCAAGAAAACTGAGGCAGATGAATTAGGAACTACAGGCTGGGAAGTGCCAGTGTGAGGCATTGCTCTCTGGGCTTTCCCAGGATTGGAAGGTGAGAAGAGCAAGGCAATTTGGCCTTTGGAGTCTGCCTGCTTGGGTTTAAAGCCCAGCTGTGTCACTTACAAGGCCACTCACTGTGTAATTTTAGGCAAGTTACTTAAGCTCCCTGAGCCTCGGCTTCCTCATCTGTAAAATTGGGCTAATTTTAATATCACGCTTACCACATAGGACTTTTTGATGATTAAATGGAATAATACTTGTGAAGCATCTGCAGTACTGCTTGGCACACAGTGAGCACTCTGTAAGTGTAAGCTGTTGTGGCTGTTAGTGCTGGAAGTCAAGTATTCAGAGCTCTACATTCCTACCATCCAAGTGGTGAGAATCCGTGTTTAAAAGCAACCTTTATATCCTAGAATTTTCCATGGGTAAGCTGCCAGGGTCACATGGTGAGTGACATAGAGGGATTTAAACACAGGTCTGACTCCACAGTCCACTTTCTGTGCTGCTAACATGTTCCAGGTGATACCTGGATCAGACGCTGTCAACAGCTTGTTAAGGGTGAAATCGGCTCTGGCTTTCCTAAGAGGCTTAGCAAGTGAATGGCTCCTTACATCCACTTGGGAATTCACAAACAGTGGCATTTCTTTCTCATTAGAGCCAAATGTTTCTCCAGAAGTGAGTAGATTTCCCCAAATTGTTATTAATAACTAAAATATCATGGCAACAGTTTTAAACTCCACAGCCTAAAACTTACATAATCAGCCCGTCCTTCAAAATTTTCCACCCTTCCTCATAACTAGTGGCAGATTCTCTCTCTTAATCATTTTTCTGAGTATGGGGAACTATCTGGAAATTTCCAGGAACGTCCCCACTTGTGATCATTTTGTTCTTTTCTATAAAGATTTATTCTTTTCAAGACAACTAACTGTAATATGTTTTTTATATCTTTATAATACTTTTCACTTCAATACATTTACAAATAAGAAAAAACATCCTAAGACTTTCAAGATTCTCTCCTCTCTTAAATTTCTACCATTTCTTCAACATCTCTGCAGCATGGCCCTCAGCCTTTTCCAGCGGCCTTTTCTAGGAGGCTTTCCTCGTTTTCTACCTCATTTCATTTAACCCCCCACACAACTTCTGCTGTGCTACAATGGCCTGCTTTCACTTTCTGATTTAGGACTAACAGCCAATTTAACATTTACTGCTCCCCTTCTCTTTCTCTTCAATATTATCATAATTATCATAAAGGTTCAATATTATCTTCGTTGATTTATGATGGGGTTATGTCCTGAAACTCATCATAAGTTGAAAATATTGTAAATCAAAAATGCATTTAATACACCTCACCTACCAAACACCATAGCTCAGCCTAGCCTACCCTAAACGTGCTCAGAACACTTACATTAGCCTACATTTGGGCAGAATCATCTCACACAAAGCCTATTTTATAATAAAGTGTTGAATATCTCATGTAATTTATTGAATACTGCACTGAAAGTATAAAACAGAAGGCTTGTCAGTGTATTGGTTGTGTATCCTCGTGATCACATGGCTGACAGGGAGCCATAGGGGCTGCCGCTGCCCAGCACCACGGCAGAGTATCGAACCGCATCTCACTAGCCTGGTAAAAGATCAAAATTCAAAATACGGTTTCTACTAAATGTGTTTCGCTTTTGCACCATCGTAAAGTTGAAAAATAGTAAGTTGAACCACCGTAAGTCGGGGACCATCTGCATACAAAAAGACCAAAGGGTTGTCTCTTTTAAACCCACTTGCTTCTTTGTTTCCCACCATAGGTTAGGAATCTATAACTCATCCTGCCTCCCATATTTGCAGCGCTCTGTTAATTTAATTTATTGTTTTACTTTTCTTCTCTCTTTCCCTCATCCTGGGCATCCACCAAATTCTATCACTTGGCCTCTCCTTTTGTGGCTGCTTATCTCTTTCCCTTCAAGCATTTTAAGAAAGTCCCTGTTCAAATCATTTCCTCTAATCTCCACCACATTCCTGAAAGGGCTCTTAGTATGTTGTGTTGAGAAGTCTG